CAAGGGGTGGGGAATGGGTTATTCTATATCATTTGCTTTCGCACCTAAATAATCAGTCTTCGCTTTGCTACGCTTCTGATCATTTATAATTAGTAAAAGTACACTTAATTTCTGTCAATGGAGTCTCGTGATTTTCTTTCCTAATTATTCAATGGAGGAGTGCTGTCAATATGAAATTTACTCATTTTACTGCAAAAATGCTTCAATCGATCATAGAGGCAGTGGGAATGTTCTGTGGAATGCAACATCGTCTGCCTTCTGAAATAATGTTTGAATTTCCACACTTGGACAGAATGGGGGAAATTACACAATATGAGACTAAAGATATGTCTGTAAAGAATTGCATACTTGGCCTCTCCTGTTCTTTATCTTCCCTCAGAATCACAGGACTCCTAGCTAAAACCTGACCTCTCAATTTTACTGTTCATAAATTCAAGCCGGTGATTGGGTCCTGATAAAACCTGACATGAGGAAAAAGCCAAATCTGGGACAGACCCTACCAAGCCCTGATGACCACCGAAACAGCAGCCCAAACTAGTGACAAAGGACAAATCACTACACTTGTGGAAAATGGCTCCTGGAGAAGACCCACTGAGAATAAGCATTTCCAAAAACTGATGTAGTCATGGTGGTATGCACAGATTTCGTGAATGATTTTTTCCCTCTCATTGCAGGAGTAGCAATGTTTGGTCCTTCTGGCCTCTACTATTCCACTTGAAGATCCTAAAAGATGCTGTGCAACTTTACACTCTACGGATTGTGTTGATTTTGTGATTGTAACTGTTACACTGAATGTTATTGTTGTACTTGTAAACTGATATACACCTTTGGGGAATAGTGGGACACTGTAATGGTGATGGCTCCCATATAAAATTCATATATATTGGGACATTGAATCAGATCAACCTGACTTGAATATAGTAATGCTAAGAGATAGTGATATCATAATCCCTGAAGAGATAATATGTATTGATGTAATGCAATGGTTCGATATTTGGGAATAATTTTCTTATGCATAGGACAAAGAGGAGGAGGAGAATGTAATGCAGTGACAAGTGTGAAAAATCATACATTCAAAGCAAGGGTGTTTTCTTCGTTTAATGTCACCTTGCAGTCTAGAATTAACCTGACACAATCTAGTAACTCACTTGTAAATATAACTAGACAGAGTGGGTTATGGACGGATGTGATAACTCTTAATTAGCATGCTCCAGCTGGCTTATAAGGTTTGCCTATGTGCCTAGCCGATGGTATGAAGCATGTGTATATGCTGAATAGAATTATAAGGACACTGCCAATGCTAGCAATAATAACTATTGCAACTGCTCCAACTTTTAAAACAACAATATCCCAGAATACCTTTGCTTTACATGATTGGTTAACAAAAGGATGTCTCTGTGGAAAAATTATCTCACAAATTCTATTTACAGATCGATGACCAAAGAAACACTATTGATGACATTACTACTTGGATGAGGAAACTCGCTCATGTCCTTGTACAAACGTGGACTAGGGCTATCAAGTTTGTCTGGTTTGTTAATATGTTCTCTAACTGGAAAAGGATTCGGTTTTTATCATGTTGGCCTTTGGAGATCTTTTTTTCCTTCTTTGTCTCATCCTTTTTTCCAGCATATAATTCAGTCTACCTTTTCTGGTATGACTGTCGTCCTCCTCGGTAACCTCTGCAATCCCTGGTTGCCCAGCTAATATCACGGTTCTTATCACCATCCCTAAAGAATATGCTCCCCTACTTCATCGCCGACAGGTAGAAACCTGTCCAATAATAAAAAAGGAGGAATGAAGGAGTATATGAATCAATATTGGCTTCTGCTTATATTATTGTATACTGTCAGAAATTAGTTGTTTTCTAGCCAAGCAAATTGTAACCTTAATACCAGACTGCAAATGTTATCTCACTTCTGTGTCTGGCTTCTATTCTTGGCCTCAAAGCTTGGCACAATTTTGAAAGCTAGTAGAAGAAATTGTTACATGGGAATATCAAACTCTATAGATAAAGGAACCAAACTAGGGAGTTTTCCTGGCTCATAAATCCTTAAAGCATTCTGCAAAAACAATTTGGCATAGGGGGGCAGCCACTCCCTACACAAGGCTATAGAGATACTCCACAGACAAGACATAGATAGGAGCTTAAACCAAAGCATGCTTTAAAGATCACGTTGGTACAATTTTTTGTCTCTGATTGGATAAACTTTGTTTCTATCTGCCTAAAATGTATATAATACTCTGAGCCACTCTTTTAGAGTGTGGCTATTCCTTACATGCTTTTGTTTGAATGTTTTGGATATAGTTTTGTCACCCAGCTTTTGCTACGGCCATAAATAAAAGATGATACTTTTTGCAAGCCTCATCTCGAGTCTCTCTCTTTGGCATCTCAGTGGCTAGGGGAAAACTGCTGGAACCTTACACCCTAATTAATCAGAATGCTATGCAAACTTAAGTCCAATTTGCAGGATATTCCCAACACTTTCCCTGTTATATTCTTTTTTCTACAAAGATGAATACTCTTCATTTGCATTGCTTTCTTTAAAAAATAATAAGATAGATTACCTTTCTTAATATAAAAATGCAGGTGGTATACAAAAGTGGTACATACCCTAAGGAAGTATCCACATGGATCCTGGCCTCCCTATAAATTGAATTGGTCTGTAGTACTCAGAACATTTAAGAGAATTGTTGCAAAAGTTAATATGTAAGAGGTTTATAAAATACATCTTGTCCATAGTCCATTTACCATTGCTAAATGTATCTTCTCTAGTTCAGAATACTTTTATTATTTTAGGAGGATAAAGACTCTTGAAACGGATTATTCCAAAAGGAACCTTTAATCAGTCAGGATGGAAACTATTAGAAGCAAAGCAGCATCTGAAGACCTTTAGGCCATGCAAATGGGATTAAGCTGATAATGACCCCTCCCCTTTGTCCGAATGCAGATTTCAACCAATACACAAGTGTGAAGATGCGTCCTTAACTCTTCTGCCCTGGGAGTCAATAAAGCACATGTTCCCATGGCTATCTCTATTAGACATCAAAGTTATATATCCCACATGGCTATCATAAACATCCCTCCAGAGATATTGGGACCTTCAGTCTCCCGGCGACAGGAAACCAGTTGTAAAGTTGTAAAACTCAGTTGTTTCAGATGTAGCTAATGATTTAATTCCGAGGCTCCCCTCTCCACAATTGAATGGCAGTATCACTTTTGGGGATCTGACACCATCCACAATCCTATCCAGACAAAAATCTTTCTTTTATTTCCAATATAGTAAATTCAGATACAGATTAGTAATCTCCTTTTGGATTACTCTGATGCAGCATAGATGAGCCTATCTTTAAAAAGTGCCCAGAATCAATAATTTTAAGAATTGGCCAAATATATATTAATCAAGCCTGGATGATCATTTATGTCAGTTCTTCACTATCTGTGTGTTAAGTTTCTAGTCCATTTTCAGGCCTAATTAGTCTGAAACCTGATGTAGTCCTGCTTTGAAAATACACCCTGAGTCTTTGGACATTCCTTTTTTGTGATGAAGAAAAGTTGTAAACTGCTTTTTTTTGTCCTCATAATTTTGATTTCATCTTGTCTCACCAACAGGTGCAGGATAATCCTAAATTATCTTCAGCTGTATCAGTATTCTGAAACTATCCAAGAGCATTCTCCAGGTATAACATCTATTAAGCTTTTTCAACCAATCTATTTGGCAACAGGAGAAGGACAAGCATATTGGCAAATCCAATTTCATCTTGGGATAGTCCCCCCATCCCTCCCCAAGTATGCGGATGGCATATTGACTCAGCAGTGAGGGAAAGCTCTTACAATAATGAGATGTTTTGTTCAATCAAGATTTCAACAAACCATATATCTGATGAAACTTTGAAGTGGTGTCCAGAGCAGTTGCTGAACTCTACAAATTACTTTGTACATCTTCAAGGATCTTCTGCATGTGTGCATATGATTTTCCATGAATGAATGTTGAATGTTTGAATGTTTATTTTATTTATATGCTGCCCTTTTCCCCGAGGGGGACTCAGGGTGGCTCACAACTCAAACCAGGGAAGGGGGATACCAAACAAAAATTAAAAACGACACAAAACAATACATAATGAAATCAAAGATTTTCTGAGTTTTGTGACTTTGAAGATGTCACGATGGAGCACCCGCTTTTCCACACTGATCGTTTCACTCCAGATTTGTAACATTTGAGAAAAATCTTTACTTTCCCTGATTTCTAGTGTAATGGTTTTTAAATTATTTCATGTATAATCAATCAAGCCCTATCATTTTGTCTTCAGACAAAAGTGTAATAAGACCAGATGCTGAATATCATAAGAAATTTACAACAATTTTCTTTCTGGCTTTTATCTTTGGATAAGGAGGGCCTCCTTAAGTGCATACATAATTCTTGGTTGCAGTGTTATTTGTGCATTGAAACTCAACTTTTCTTTAGTTTTAAAACAGTGGAACAGAGATGTATCTCCCCTTTTTATTCCAATCTACAGCATATCTACTGTAGAGCATTGTTACAATACAACTTTACAACTTTATATGATTTCTGACATTTAAAATAAAATAGATAGACCTCCAGACATCTGAGGAGGTCTTACAATCCATATTCGTAGATTACAATAAGGCATTAGCAGATTACCTCTTTTGGAGAATAACTACAGCAAGGCGGAGTCGCATCGTCACGTAATTCTTCAGTGGAACGCGCGAGCGACGTCTTTTCGAAAGACTCATGAAAGCGAAGCGCTGGGCCTATGCCGCTGGCGTTGAGAACTACGTGCGCCGTAGGCGCTGGCCTGCTGGGAACGCTGGCTGCTTCCTCAGCCAAGCTGGCTTTGGGCGATGATTACTTGAGGGCTGCTTGCCAAGCCATTCTCGGGGAAGAAGAGATCACCGGGGAAGCCTGTATCTGGGTAAGAGGCCGCCTTTGCTGCGGAAGAAGCAGTTGGCGCTATGATTCTTCGTCACCGCGGGCCTGCGAGACCTCTAATCCGGCAGCAGCTTGGAAGGCCGAGTAGCCTACGAGGAAGAGATGCAGGCCCGCATCAGAGAAACTCGCGGGTCTAATAAATGTAGCAATTTCAAGGGATCCGAAACAAGATCGGGTAGCAGATTTTCCCCTCCCCTTAAATTCTTTTGCAAGAAAGGAAATGGCCCATATTTCTGCCTTGGAAGAAGTTTTGAGGGCTGATCTACAAAAGCTTATGTTACTGCAACAAGATTCCTTTGTGTAGTTTAAATTTCTTTTTCCCCATTTTTATTATTTTCACAAATAACTCAAAGCAACAAACATATCCAATATATCTTCTTCCTCCTATTTTCCTCACAGCAATAACCTAGTGGGGAAGGTAGGGCTGAGAGACAACGCCTATTTCAAAAATCACCCAATAAACATATCTGGCTGAGGATGGCTCTTGTTCATGAAATCCTCTGTAGGAAGTTAAAACCCACCCTTCTAGAAAAATGAAATATCCTGGGAAATATTGAAAAGACAGAATATTATATTTCCCTGGATAAGAAATGGAGAAACGTGTTTTTAGGCAGGAAACAGACTCACTCGTAATAGCCACCACCTTTGACAATGGGCCTTTAAGAGACCTGAGCCAGTCTATTCTACATAACAAAGGTCTCCCCCTTCAGCTCCAAGGTGATGGGATTAAGGCATGATAGTATTAGCCCTTTACCCATGTCACCACAGGGCATCTGGGAAGAAGCAATACTCAACCAAACTTGGATTTAAAACACAGCCTACAGAGTTGCCCCTGTATGGCCCCATGGGAGTCTGACAGTCAGAATACAAGCTCAAGATCAAAGCCCAGAGAGGGCATAAAGCCAGGGACTTTCAGCATCTCTGCCTCTTTTTTCTTCTTCACCCAACATCTTGAAGCATGTGGTCCCCTTTTCTGTTCAGGAGCTCAAACCATGTGATCCTGTCCACCGTTAAACCATTTTTCCCAGCAGCCTCCCTGTTTCCAGTGTCTTTTCCCCAGTTGGAACTGAACCCAGAAGGACATTTCTTCCAACACCTCCTTCAAAAATAAAGGAGAATATTTTTAGCTTACAGTTGAAATGCGGGTTCCTTGGTATCTTGTGAGCTTGGTTGCTTTCTTGCAGACATTTCATTGCCCAAATAAGTAACATTAGCAAGGCTAGTGAAGATGCCCTTATCAAAGTGGATCAATTACCCCTCATTCAAAAAACCCTTCACATTCAGCATGAATGATTTGAAATAAGATCTCAGCTTAATTAGTTTGACTTAAAGATGGCACTAAGTAACATTCTTGCTTGCTGTGACCACAAACACACTGTTGGAAGGAATGTCCATCTGGGTTTAGTTTCAAGTGGGAAGGAAGACACTGGAAACATGGAGTCTGCTTGGAAGGATGGTTTAATGTTGAACAGTACCACATGGATTTGAAGTCCTAGGTAGCTGATCACATGGGAGTGGAGAGAGATGTATTTATACCCTCTCTTGGGCTTTGGAGGGAAAAAAAAATCTTTCTCCATTTCTCCTCCAGGGAAATACAATATTCTTCCTTTTTAATATTTCCTAGAATATTTCATTCTTCTAGGAGAAGGGTGGATGCTACCTTTCTGCAAGATAACTTTCTTGCACCTCCAACAAATATTTGTATATTTACCATCTATTTGATTTAATTTACGTGGTGCTAGGTACCACCTTCATATCACATTTTCCTTAACTCTAACTGACATATTCTTATATAATCTTCTATTTCAAATATTTTTCCAATCATTATCATTTATTTCTCCCAAATCTTACCCCCAAATTAATTTTAAACCTTTTACCTGCTCTTCTAAATCAGTTAATATTCTATATATTTTCCATATTTTTCCTTTCCCTATATATTCGTTCATCTCACATTCTTTTATAACCATTTCAAATTTTGTTAACTGTCTATCTTTCTCCTTGAATCTTTTTTCCACTTTTATCCATTCCTCTAATTGTATTAAATTCAACCAATTTAATTTAATATCTGCTAAAATGTTTTTTTAGTTGTGTTATATTCTTTATCTTGTTCTTCCAGTCTTCCCATTTATATATCTGATTTTCTTTTAGTTTACTAATCCATTCTTTCAATTCAATCTTAGGATATTTCTCCATTTCCACCACCGGTGTTAAAGGAGAGATTCCTGGCATTAGTCAGTATCTCCATGTATTCCATAATTCCATCAAGTTTTTTAAAAAGGGATTTTGTATGCTCCTAACAATTTTTTAAATATCCTTT